ACCTACCTTGTTTCCTGAGAAACTCCTTTCTTTGAAATTCAGCCTCTTTCAGGACTGCCTTGAACGCTAAACCCGATATTTAAAGGGAAAAAGAAAAAGAAATGAACACGTTTGCTTGCTGCAGTGAGAAGACCTTCCTTTGACTCCCCCTCACGGACGCAGCGATACCGTCTCCGATGAGAACCAGAGAGGACTGGCTTTTGGCCTTCCCGTCGTGGAGCTGCACAGTGTAGGTCCCTTCGTTGTCCTCGGTGAACCGGTCCATCACCATCTCAACAATGCCGGTGGACTTGTCGCACTTGATCCTGTGCGCCTGGGAGCAGGGGGGAGCGGGCCGGTCACCGAAAGCCCCTCCTCCAGCCTTCCCTCCGGCCCCGTCGGCCCTTCAGGGCTTGTGACTCGCAACAAACACAAAGTGAGGGGCGGAGGGATAAACTGGGGGTTCTGGATTTGCGGGTGCACACCCCTGCATGTAAAAGAGACAAACACAAGGTCCTACTGTGCAGCACAGGGAACTATATTCAGTACCTCGTAACGGCCTAGGATGAAAAGGAATACGAAAAGGAACACACGTATAGATGTTTAACTGAATCACTGTGCTGCACGCCAGAAACTAACGCAACATCATAAACCAACCACACTTCAATTAAGCCCCCCTGTCCTTCCAGGCCACACCTCACAGGGGGTCCATCTGTCCACCCAGCACAGGGCCCGGCGGGTGACAGCACCACACAAGTGCTGGTTGAACCCCCAACGAGGAAGCCCGCCTGAGGCCTGTCAGCCCACGTAGCTGTCGGGGGCTGAGCTGCTCTCCGGACACTGCTTTGTGATATGGAGCAAGTTTTCTTTAGGGACATTCTGATGCCCAGCACGTCCCAGCCTTCATGTCCAGGGACAGACGCTGGACCAGCCTTCATCCAGGCAGCGTATGTAATAACAAAGCAGTGCCTACTGTGTTCAAGGCGGGGCTGGGAACACAAGGGGCCCGGGCATGGCCTCGGGGCTGCCAGCCCAGTGGGGAGACATGAGGCTGCCCAGTCACCAGGACAGGGCGGGGAAGGGCGCGAGGACCTGTGGGGGCAGCAGGAGGCTGGTGGGGAGCCACCGTCCATCCACCTTGAGCCTGGGAAGCCTTCCCCCATCGGGCCGAGCCCTCCCTTTTGCACATGAAGCCTCAGTGAAACCAGGCACTGGTGCGTGTGGCCCCCCCCAGCCTGGCTGGTCCGGCCGCCTGCCCTCAGCACCACCACAGCACCAGGGTTGATGTCCCCAGACTCTACAGCCCCCATCCGGGCAGCCTCCCCCGGGGACCCTTTCCCAATGCCGCCCAGCCCGCCCAGAGCTCAGGTCTCCTTCTGACTCACTCTCACCGCCTGCGATGAGCTACAGGGACTGAGATGTTTAACGGGTGCTGACAGACTAGGTTTTATCCACCCGGATATGACGTCTGCAATCAAGTGGGTCTCGGAGCAGGAGGAACAGGTCCCCATGAATGAGTCGTCCTGGACGCAGTCGTCATGCAGGGACTCCCGACAGGCTGGGGGCGCCGGGCCCGGGCCACCCCCGGGGGAACACGGCCCACAAGCTCCCTGGGGGCCGCTTCCTCTGGCCCTGACCACCCCCACCCGACTCCCAGAGTGAGCAATAGGGCAGTAACCTTTGCTGCTGACCTTTCCTGCAGGCCTTCCTTCCCAAGGGAGCCCAGCTGGGATTTAAGGGATGGCTTCCCTGCCTGGATAATGTGCATATACACGCGTACGTGTATTCCTTTCCGTGTTCTTTTCATTACGAGCCACGACAAGGTGCTGAATATGGTCCCCTGTGCTGTACCACAATTCTTACAGTGTCACTGTCCTCGTGGGGAAGACCGACTGGGCAAGAAGACTCACACCACCTTCACACGTCCACACTCGACTTCTTCTCGAGACATACTCATCCAACCATCCCAGCTTTACTCAACACCCATCCGACACCCAGCTCGACAGGGCCAGGAGCCCGGCTCAGAGGAAGGGTAAGTGGGCTGCCCACCTGGCAGGAGCGACTCCTGCGTCTCTTCCGTTAACATCTGGGCACACGGGTGAGGCAGTTAGGACTCAGCAGGGTCTAAGCAGACACAACGCCTTGGGTGTCGGGGGAGAGCGGAGAAGGCAAAGGTGGTGGGATCAGAGAGACCCCAAGGGCACCCTCGAACAATCAGGAGAGGCCCCTTCACACAGGCTGACTTTTAACTGGGTTCCCAGCTGTCCTGCAGGGACAGACAAGGATGGACGGAAACAGCCAACGCTCCAGAGCCGAAAAAGGGGTCCTCGTAACAGTCGCTCAATGAAAAGTAGGACCAGGGCAAAGTGTGTGCGTCAGGCGTGCTCTGCGGTTCTCTCTGCCCGCATTTACCAGCAGGAAGCAGCCCGAGGCTCCTGGAAGGTGCAGAACCTAGTTTCCCAGCCGAGGTCTCCCACGAGGGGACTTGCAGCGGGAGGGGGGCCTGGGGAGGCACTGCTCACCTCCGAGCACAAGCACACGCCCTCACAACCACCATCAAGAGCAAACAAACCAACAGCAAGGTTCTACCGTGCAGCACGGGGAACGACGTGCAATAGCTTGTAACAGGCCGTGAGGAGAAAGATCACACGTGTACGTGCAGCTGAACCACTGTGCTGCACGCCAGAAGCTAACTCAACACTGGGCATCAACCACACTTCAACTAAGAAAGAGCAAATTAACGTCCATCAAAGACGCTGAACCTGAACCTTTTCACAAAACCAGGCTCAACGTCCCTAGAACATAGTTTGCCGTTTTTCAGTTCCAACAGACTTGACTTAACGAACTCCCGATCTCTTCTCCAACTCGGACCAAATCTCCGAGCCCCGCAGGAACCAGTCGTCTCTCGTCCGCCTTGCCGAGCTTCCACACCCCCATCTCCACAGCTCCGAAAGGGCGGGAAACAAACACAGACGACCGACTTCCAGGAGCTGACCTCCCCGAGGAGCACCGCCCGCTCCGAGGCCAGAGAGCCCTCCCGCGTGGACTCACCTCGCTGTCAGACACCTCTCTGTCATTAATGACAAAGCGGTAGCTGGCGTCTGGCGACAAGTGCTCAGCCTGGAGCCAGAAGCGGACCTGGCCCTTATCAAAAACCTCATAAGCTAATTCCGACTTCAGAGGGATTGCTGGAGGAAGAAAAGAGCCACGGTCAGTGAGGCGTGAGCCCTCGAGAGAGAACAGCTGCTTGTCGGACGAAGTGCCCATCTTGGTTATTAAACTTTTTGAGAATGTGCGACCCTGGGGTGTTGAATTGGGTTATGAAGGGAACTCTAGCCCGGCGTCGCACCCCAAGCCCTCGAGCCTGGGCCAGTGGCCGGGAGGGTGTGCTCTTCCTGCACTCTGTGTAATCCGACAGCTGAAGGTCCGTCGGACACAAACGTCACTTGGATTAAACGGCCACAGTAAACCCCACACGGGCAATGGAAATTCCTGCAAGTTACAATACTAGCTGACCCTTGTCTTCAACCAGCTGTTGACAAGGCGGGAAGCCGGGAGCGTAAGATGAGGCCAGCCTGTCCCCTCAGGCCCCTCCCAGAGCCGCACACGGGGTGAAGGGCCCCACCCAGGGTGCAGCCCTGCCTCCGGTGACCCAGGCTCACTTACTGGGATTCTTTATCTCATTGCTCAGCGCCATCAGACGGTCCAGCTCTAGAATTAAGGACAAGATAATCACTCATTTTGACCTGTAGGTTCAGAAGTTTCTCAACAGCAAAGCTAGACAAAGCAGAGACTTGACATCACCGAGGTTTAATGTGAGGCTGTGAGAGAACTGTGAGCTGGGAGTGGGACGGAGAGGAGGAGTAACTAGCTCCGAACACTCCCTCCAGTCTGTTAGCGGCAGACCCCACTCAGATCCTCACCATTTAAATACCCGGCTTACTAACGGGATGGGTTAGGACGGGTCAGGGCAGAGGCCTGGAGGTGCGGGGGCTGGGGCGGGGTGGTACATCCCCTCAGAGAGGAGGTGGAAGGAGATCCCTCCCAGACCCTCGCATTCCACACGAACTGCTTCCTAAAGTGGGTCTGGCTGGCGAGAACGTGGGTGGTCTCTGCTTTGCCTTCTCCTTTCAGTGTCCTGCTCGGATCCCTCTCACCCACCCAGAATGTCCCGTGGTGCATTACGTGGGGAAGAACCAAAACCGAACAAAGCATTGCTCCTGAGAGTCCCAAGAGCAAGTTAAGAAAAACCGAAGGTTCATTTCTTCCCTTCTCTTTCCTTCCCTCTTAAAGTTAGAACTGAGAAACGAGACTGTGGTCACGAAGGTCTGTAGCTCCTGTTCATCTGAACTGAACAACGAAGCCAACCTCCCGTGACCGACAGTAACTGGACCTGGTCTCATCTGACAGAGAGGACCGACTCTCCCAACTCCGTCTCACGGAAGGAACCCCCAGAAATTGAACCAGCTTAAGCTGCAGCATCAGGGTTTTGCCCAAAATATATCTGAGGGCCACAAACAGTACAAAATGCACCAGAAATGCTCATCCTTCGCAAGTATTTAAAATTAAGGTTGAAAATGTCATCTGCAAACTTCCAAAGGGTGCCGAGGTGTACATCACTTTCAGAATCTTTACGGATGGTTTGTGCTTAAAAAGCTGTTTGAAGACCACTGAGTTGGGGTTCCAAAGGGGAGCTTAAGGAGATGCGAGTGGATTCTGGCCTGTTCCTGCCTGACTGTGAGCAGGGAGCTTCCCGGCTCC